TTTTTTGGCTCGTCAGATACCTCAATAGTGGTGTTCCTTAAGATTCTAGGATCGCTTAACTTTCTTATTCTTATCAAAGGTCTTGCAGAGTGCCTCTTTCTATACTCAACATGCTTCATTTTCGCATAGGATGTTAAGACCATACTTCATGTTCTCCAACAATTTATTATACAAACTATATAAACCATTACTATCCGAATAAATATCAATTATGTCCTTTCACAGCGAGAACGAAAGCAAACAAAGCATCGTAGCACTTCCACCCAACACATTTGAAGCCGAATACCTTATTAAGCTCAGACGGAATGCTAGTGGTGTACTTATATCAAACAGTTGAGGTATGATTGAATACTCAACTTCAAACAGTTTGGAAGAGTACGAGTACGGTAGGCTCGAAATTGGTGGAGTGTTGAAGCGCAAATTTATATTTGTATACCTTAATGATGGAAGGAAGATGCATTCACTTGCAAACGAACGGATAGCGGAATAGCGGAAGTAGTCCGCTGAAGCGCTATCATTCGCAAAAAAATAACTCGCCGAAGCGGTATCCAACGACAATAACGGAAGCTATCGCTGTAAAATGTCGATATTTGAACACAATAGCGCGCTATTCGCTATCGCTATTCCGCTAATAGCAGAATAGCGCGATATTGTCCATTACTGTGATTACTCAATTATGCAAAATATTTTATCAAAATACCGACAGAATTATGCAAAATATTCTATAAAAAATGGTACTAAAAGAACAGGAAAAATTTCAAATTTGAAGTCGGGAAGGTTTGAAACTGACTGACCATTTCTGACTGCATTTTAATCTTGAACATATCACATAATAGTGAACTGAAAAAACTAGTTCGAAGAAGAAGAAAGAAATATTTGGATTAGCATTAGTGAAAATGGAGAAAATACGCAAATCGTTTATCAACATCAAAACACCAACCTTTGAGAAATGAAGGACGATATTTCGGTAACGTTTAGCACAATGCGAAGAATTTATGGCTGATCACCTTGCTGGGTATTCTAATATTCATAAAACAATGGAACAGTGGTTTGGGCCTCACTCAAAATTGAGTGTATTTCACAATCTTGACACTTTTAACATCCTAAGGTCGTTTGAAGATTTTTCAAGCAAAAAAATTAATTGGTTCATGATTTGCGCACAATATTTGTGGACATGGCAGCTGACATATTGAATGAGACAAGAGAACACAATTAGCAATAATTTCTCAAGAAGCAATCAACCCTTAAGCCTTGCGCAGTTTACGTTCTTTTTTTCTGAGTTTCTTCTCATCAATTTCATCATCATCATCAGGTTGTGCGAAAAACCATGGCGAAAGAATACCAGTCCAAATCCGATAGCAAGCATATGCTGGTATCAGCAGTAATAACCAAAATATTTTTGACCAAAATGTTGCAATTACTACGATACTAGAACATAAGATGACGATATCTTTGCAATATCTGAAACCATTGCATTAATTGACCAGAAAATTTTTTATATCTGGATGCAAACGAAAATTTTTGAGTGCGAAGCGAATCGAAAAACTATTTTATGACAATAATGAATGATCACTGAACACATGTGGCGAACGTCCTGAATGACGAAAATTTAGATGTGGTACTGTTTACCATTTTCGAGCATGTAAAAACAATCACGGTGAGTCAAGCGAAAATATTCATATATGACGTCCACCTCAATCAGACAGCTGGGATGCGACTATTTTTATGCGTTAATTTAGCTGCTAAACTCAAATGGGAAGAGACATTTTAAGAATGATTAAGTATGAAGATTAAAGAAATGAAAACCGATAAATTTCAAAACAGTGGAACGAAATGACTCGAATTCGTCCGAAGTGATAAAAGGTGAGAATATGTAAATATAACGTACTCGCCGAAAGCATCCGGCTGATTTAAATCAATACCCGCATCAATAACCTGCCCTTTCTCATTTCTTATACACTGTGCCATATAACGCATCGTTAGAACTGCTCCCAACTGAAGAAATATACACACACAGAACACTACCTAAAGCAATTAATATTGAGATTATAACAATAGTGATATTATAAACTTGATCACGTGATGAACAGAATAACAATATAGTAATTACTGCGATAGGGCATAAGTGGGGAAATTGCACTGCTGGCATCATATTCAGGTATGAAACCTTCATAAAAGTGACACGTTTCTAGAAGAAACTAATGGTTGCTCTGTGTTAGAATCACATGCACACGAAGAAAAACAACCATTCTTCAAAAAAATGTTAATAACACGGATAACAATGTTTGCGAACAAATATCTCAAATTTTTATGCAATAGAAAATTCGTTCCCATTTTCCTTGTCGAGAAATTAGCGTTCAATACTACCGTAATCCTTCTCCAACCACTACAACACAAACGTGCACTGACGTTTGCAGTTGATTGTAACATATTGAGGATACTGAATTATAATTCCATATCCTCTTCTTCACTTCTTGATTCTTAACGTCACTTGAAATAAACTACGAATCATGAAACTCATATTTCTTACACTTTTTTGAAGCGCAAGCAAGGAAATATGGATAATATTATGGAGGAATCTGAATGTAAATCTTCACTGATCATTTTCTTTAAACAATCAATATTTAGAAAAAGGGGAACAAATTCGCAAAATTAGCCACGAACCCATTCTAGTGTTGATGCAGAAAATATCGTCAACGACAGTGATGCATAAAATATCTGAAATAAAAGAATTTTCTGTTGAGTGATGAACCGTAACGACTCAAGTTACTGATTCGTGTGAATGAATATGTGAATCTATGTTTGAAAAAAAAACTGAAAAGGGAAATAACAATTTCAGTATCCTTTGACTCAAATGACACTCGTCGGTCCATTTGCAATTCTAAACGGTTATTCTATTCAAATCAATCACTGTTATTGAACTACGAACGTTGGTTCAACTTTCCGTATAGATTCAGTATTTTTCAAAGTCCTACCGATCATTCTGTTCAAATGGTTCATTACAAGCAAATAAGAACATATAACACACAAATATCATTCTCGAAATTAAACACTTAGCTAAAATGCCAAAGGAGAAGCGTACCGATGAAATGATTGCAGCAATACTATAGTCACGAATCGCATACGTATTGTCCTCATAAATACGTTTTTGGCCTTTCGTCGCCACTTTACCAGCCTTCTGTGTGCCACTCATCCTCTTTCCCTGAAGCGCGCTCATAATCCAAATATACAAATCAAGAGCTAATTTAATGAACATATCATTTATTCATACATTGCAAATTCAAACGAACCACAAACGTTTGAATTATTCACGGACAAACAGATATCACTGCAAGAAACATAAACACTCGAGAAGGCAGTCCTCTCGACGAAAAAGTTTTAAATTCGTTTACCGAAATGAACTGAATGTTTTTATCGATGAAAAATCTGTTAACGATTTAACACTTCAAGTCGAAGCTAACTCCTTCCTTCAGATAGGTAGTGGGATGGAAGAAGTGGATCAGATCAACCAATTACTTGAGAAGGAACATATTTAGAACGTTTAGATTCACCATAAACAAAATGTAATGCTTCAACCAGTTCTGACTCAAAATACCACATTTTTCGATTAAATCGGAAAAAATTATCGAAAATTAAAAACCTTTCATCATTAAAAATATGCTCAAAAGTTGATTATCACAACTCAACAAATAATCTTTCAGCATTGAAATACAAGCATTAACACATTATGTAAAACGAACCAAATGACCAGAATAAGCATTTGAGCGAATTAAGCGCTGTTCAACAAATATTTAAGCGTAATATTAATCATTACGGGGCATCTAGAAGCACCGAAATATTTATTCAGCGACACAAAAGAAAATCAAATCCGTATCTTTCATAGTAGATATCAAATATAAATAATATCAATATTCATAAGTTGAATTAAATCAGAATAAATTCAAAACGATAAGTGTGCAGATGAATGAGAATCAATTAATACACACGTATCTCTTGTGCTCTTATTAAAATGAATAGATGTTGATAAAACTGAACGAATGGTCATTTAAAAAAAAAACAGATCGAAAACAATGCAAGACAAGACAAAAGAAAGCGCATGATTCATGTAATGAGCAGCACAGAAAACAGATATTAACCACAATTATATCATATGAACTCATATCGAATTATGTTACTTTTAACAAATCAAATCAGTTTACTTTTCACTTTAACAACTAAACCATTCGATATGCACTTAATGATCATGCAAAACAAGACGGAAGATTTCGTTCGATATGAAGAAAGCACCGGATGATGGACGAAGGATGAAGAATTGATTATACGACTGTACAGGATCATCGTCTGTCTGCAATTCATCTTTTTCACGTTCCACCTCTACACTTTGATCCATTTCGTTCTCATCTTCTACACTTTTGGCATATGATTCTCTAGTTGAGTGATACTCAACAGCATTCGAATTCTCGTACTTTCAGTATCATACTTATTCACAATCAATCTATTATTAATCATCACTCATTCATAATGTTTTATTCCTTTGCACATAATTAGAGAAACCACCACAAATCTGAGTGCGTATATATGAAAGCCGCATCGAAATTCAAAACTGCTTGCAATTTAAGGCATATAATTATCTATGAATATTATGAATACACATATTCCAAGTGAGAACGACTTATTGGAAGAATGTATGACTAGGTTAACAATAATAATAAATTGGAAGAAAAATAAATTCACTGAACAGATCATGTAAAATGTTATAGCAAAATGAAGCAAATACAATGAAACACACCTTTAATTGGCCAATAACAGCTACTAGAATTGATCCATCGGGTAAGGGTTGACAATCTGTTTTTGTGATCGCTCGCTGAATCCCTTTGAACGTCAAACTCTACAAGATTCTTGCGCTACTGAGAGAACTGCTTGAATCTATTAACGAGAAGCCAAAGAGAAAATTTCTCTAAAATATGCGTTAAAACTGGAAATCATTTTAAACTAGCTTTATCAATCGAAAACCTTCAACATGAAATCAGAAATAACAATGATGAATAACGATACCATCCGATCTTAAAAATAAATAAAAAACAATGTACTGAAACCGAATTCATTCAGAAACTTCAGCAAATGAAGCAACTGTGTATCATAAATCAATTTTTCTTGATAACCAAAATTATTATAAACTCGTTTTTCACAATTCGAAGGAAAAAAGAAACATTGAAATAACTGAATTAGAACATTGTTATAAACACATGAAACAACTAAAACGAGATATTTCACCAGATATAAACCAATTCAAACAAATGCTTCACCAGAAAAAGTTTAAATCTCATTACAACACGGATATTTGGTAAAGCACACATTTGAGACAGCTTCAACGAAAAAATCAATGCTTATAATGGTTTGAAAAAACTCACCGTGAATTTCTGCAATATCTCATCACGACCCCTAGCCTGAACTCCTTCGAAAGTCATGTACGAATTCTGTGGATCATATAAATCACTTAATCCACTGCTTCGCATTGCCACATCTGGGACGTCGAACTTAGAATAATAATGTTGCACGAATGCATTCCCGATTTCTTCATAATTCGGATTGAAGGACATCATCGATAGTGAACCGCTGGAATTAAGGACGAAATTTTTTGATACCTTCAGAACAAATCAACATTCGTAAATGAAGTAAAACCGTTTGACTCCAAGCCAGCGATAGTAACAGACCGAGACTCGGTCGGTAAAATACGACGAATTTCAGTCGGAATTCCGACATTCACATCCCGACCGAAGACTACTGAAGTTCAGTCGGAATACAGAATTTCGGCGTCTCAAAATGTGAATTCAGTCCAATTCTGGAGGAAGAGTTTCGAAGTTCGGCAGGAATATTGAATTTCAAATTATTAAAAAGTCGGTTCGGTCGCATTCCAACCGAAACTTCGGTCGGATGTCGTCGCTACTCCGATCCCACAAAATGTGATTACAAAATGGTGGCCCTCCAGAAGAAAGAAGTTTTTGCATACATGGAAGAGTTCAGATATCGAATTAAGTAGCAAATGATACAACGAATCATGATAATGGAGTTTTTGAATTCTCACCAGTGACACTTTCGATCATATTGAACCCTTGTATACTCATGATCAAGACAGCATACTAACCTAACAGTAATTCGAAATCAGAAATAACGATAGGATACAATATAACAAAAACAATCAAGTATTTGAATGATATTATTTGAAAAAAAAAACACAATGGCTATGAACCCCAACGAACAAATAGTTCACGTAATCGAAGAAAGCACTTTGAAATGTATCATTCATTTTGCAGCACTATATTACTGCATCTACACAGATTAGCACTTGTTTAAAATCGCTTCCTCCGATTTTGGACAATTTTGGGAAATGACTAAACTTCCATTACAAAAACACGTTAGAGTATAAGGCCAACCCATACAACATTGGGTACAAGTGAAGCAAAATGATCATAGATGGGCATACCATTGAAAAATGATAGCTTCGTTATCACTGATCTGCTGAACTAAAAAATGTTTGGTTTGTTAAAAATTGGGCTATTGCTTTTGTCGCCAAAACAATAGCGAAGCGCTATCGCTGATCCGCTAATTAAGCAAAATTAGTCCGCTATTTGCTACCGACATTGCTACTTTAGAATCTTTTCTCAAAGTTTGCAGTTGCACCACTTATTTGCATGGGAAAAAAACCTCATTACGCCATTAAACAGATGAAAATTTTTATTGAATCATTCAACAATAGATAATCATTCCGACAATAAGCACCAGTCAATAATGAAACAAGCTTTGACAATGAGAAAATAACCAAACGACGACAACAAAATTCAAAGATGAAAAGCAGTCAGTTGACAACAGCTCACATTACACTTTCTCATTCCTTCTTAAGAAAGTCAACATGCTAAGCATTTCGTCTGAAATTCTGGATCGTCTGGACCTTATCGTATCGTCTAACTCAGTCTACGAGATAAAAATCACCGATCATTACGCCTATACAGGGAAATGATTGTGAAATGAATCCACCAAACTACCATCCCATCGTATTAATCTGCTCAAGTTCTGAAGTTTTGGGGAAAATAACTGCAACTGGCAAACCATTTTACAATGAAAGAGTTGTTTTTCCGTTTCCACTGTGCCTTTCTAGATAGGGGATCAATCATTGCGGTTCCGTTCTGATCCTAGCAAAATTGTGTCGCTCATATTCCGACTGAACTTCAAAATCCATCGGTCGAAACCCGGATCTCGGATTCCAACCGAAATTCGTCGGATTTAAGAGACCGAATGTCGGTTGGTTATCATCAGTACTGAATGAAAATACCAAGAGTATCATTTTAAAACCAAACGTACGCGCTAAGTTTTGCTCACCGTTCAAGTGATTTCTTTCTGCCATCGAAAGACGCGATTCTTTGCTACGAAAAAAATACGTGGGTTGTCGTCGGACAGTGCTTGAGATTTTCCTCAAGTTTGCGCATTAACACAGCTGTTTCTTCACGCTTTTGCATAAATCAAATTCTCTGTTTTCAGAGAAGCGTATGTTTTGTCCACCGATAATGCCCAGTTCCTGAGTTACAGCAAAATTTTTTAGGGTTCGTTGTATAGGCGGGTCATTCCATCGAACCCCTTTCCCACTCCTCAGATTTAATCACTATACTGTTGGTCATCAGTCTCTATACACTGAACCGTTTGAAGGGTGCTATATACCTGTACAATATCATTGCGCTCAACATTTCAATTTCAAGCCCGGTGATTTGAAGTTAAAATGATGAACAAATGAAGGTTGAATTCATTTAATTTGATCAAATCCAGCTCAATTCAATACCAGAAAATGAACTGATATGTCGCACTTTATGATGTGCACTGAGATTTTATCGTATCTCAAGCCACTGACAGATAAGAAACAATCGTCTGCGATCTTATCTCTATCGAACGGTTGGTACAGGTCAACACGATAAATGTTTGTTAACGCAACGGTTCATTGATCTGATATTTTGGGTGTTCTTAGTAACAGTCAACCTCATTAAATCTTGTATTTATTAATATCAACTTACAATTAGTGCACCCAACATAGTGCTTCTTGCAACTGCATCTAACAATGTCGATGTCAGCCATTCATCAGTCGGCATCATATGCGAGGTGATTTCTTTCATCATATTTGTTGTACGCCTTCCTGAAACTACTAGCTTTTAAAAAGCTATCGTTTTTGTTCGTAATAGTTCACGAATTCACAAATAGTTGACATATTCCATTCAGGAGGCAATCAATCAGCAAAATTTGGTAGTGTTTAGAACCGACAGATTTTTTTGCGAACGACAGTTCTTTAGCGTTTAACTTGCAACGTTTGTCAGCGAGTTTGAGGGAGTTATTTTGCCAGATTCGTTCATTGCTTGAGGAAAATTCGAGAAGTTGTTCCACTGGCAGATCAAGCTGACGTTAAATGATATTGTAGACTGTAGGAAGATCAATTTAAAATCTTCGCAGCTCTAAAGTTTTAAATCCTAATACTGATAATCTTTCCTGGTATTCGGATATATTCGGATAGATAGATTGGTTGTTTAAAATTGCAACAACCCAGACCCCCCCCCCCCTCAACTAAAAGTAAATATAAAAAGGATTGTTGCCTATTAGTGCATGACAGTGACTTCTTTTAGCCTCATTACATATGGAGTTTGTTCACTGCTCGCATCAGTCCTGCAACGCATCATTATGGAGATATACTTTTTCGACTATCCGGTTTTCATCAGCATGATTCCAATGGTCTCCACTTTATTTCTCCTTCAATTCTTCAGGTTTTTCTTCATTCAGTTTGCATTTATTTTCATAAAACGCATATATTTCCATCAATTTTCATAAATGCACCACGCACGCAACAGATATTAACACCGAGCTAATGTCGAATGTATCTGAATGCGCGCTCGAAAATTTCAGACTGGTTCTCCAGTCGTATTCCTCGAACAGAAAACAGAACAGAAATTCTCGAATGATGAGCTGAATGCGATACCGGAAAATACACAATTATTATCGAAGCTTATCTCTTGCACGAATATTGATGTGAAAGACAACAGATGATTTTTAGTGTGTAGGTAGATTACTGATTATGTCAACGACAAGTTTAATGCATATATTTCTAACGAATACTTTTTCATCAAAAATGTCAGTTGAAACATGTAAGAAATGTTATTCTGGATGCAAAGATACAGAAACAGTCGTGTATCAATTGATTGGTCAATGTTCTGTTCTAAACGACGTGTTATCGGTATCACAATTGAGCACGTATGGTGAAGAGATGTGAACTTGAATGACTGCATCTCATTCAAAATGACCATTCGCTTAACACAAAGCTGTTTATATACGTGACCGGTCAATCTGTCTAAAGACGTTTCATCTAAAGACATTTCTTCTAACGGACAGTTCGTCTAATGCACTGTCTAATGGGCGTGTAATATTGTTAGACGCAACCGTTCAGAACATGTTGG